AAATATATATCTAACAAAGGACTTACAAATTCATGTACCAGGGTATTTACGGCTTTAATTTCTGAAAACTGAAATGTCACTTTCCACAATTATTTATAATGATGTTGATTTATGCTTAGGTTAAAAGAAACTGTACTTTTTGCAGCAATAAATGACCCATACGGAAACCAACACTGCAACAGACTAAAATATTCGCTTGTGCTAAAGCGAAGCCTAACAGGTTTACAGAGGACAGAAGGTTAACAGTCTGTCTGGCAGGCTAACATCGAGGTGACCTCTAGACAGTATATATATGTATATAGATGTCTATAGATCAGTGCCTGCTATTGAATTGAACATACATATTGATCCACAAAAGATTGGGCATGTGTGCTGTACTATCCAAATACTAAATCTACCTCAGATCATGATGATTGAACTTTTGCATTTATTATTTATTTGAATTGTTTTATCTTACTTGAAAAAAAATAATCCAGAAGTATATAACTGTCCAGATAGCTCTACTGAACACAATGTTAGCCATACTGCATATGTTAAATTCTGGAAATGTGCCAAAATTGCATCTTCCAAGTATTCTCTAGTAATTAACCTACTATGATCAATTATCTAATCATTTAACTTCATCTGATGTGATGATCAATTTATTTTTCATAGTCAATCATTGGTACCTTATATTTTCTTGTGTTTAAAATCAAAATTTATATGATGCAAAATAAAGATGCTAATTGCCATTAATATTCATTCTTAATGTAAAGGTAAAACTCAGGGTAAGTTAAGTTATAGCTTAGCTAAAAGTTACAAAAAAGAAAATATCACCTTCATGTAGCATGCATTTACTTTCTTTCAATACTGAAAACACAGTCAGCTATTTATGTAATTGACTAACTTCATCAGAAAGGCTATATGATTTTAACTGATGATTAAGTACTGGTAACACTGAACTCAAGGTAACACTGAACTCCAGGTTCAGTATTGTAATACTGAACTCAAGGTTAAGTATTGGTAACACTGAACTCAAGGTTAAGTATTGGTAACACTGAACTTGAGGTTTAGTATTGGTAACACTGAACTCCAGGTTTAGTATTGGTAACACTGAACTCGAGGTTTAGTATTGTAATACTGAACTCAAGGTTAAGTATTGGTAACACTGAGCTCAAGGCTAAGTATTGGTAACACTGAACTCAAGGTTAAGTATTGGTAACACTGAGCTCAAGGCTAAGTATTGGTAACACTGAACTCAAGGTTAAGTATTGGTAACACTGAACTCCAGGTTTAGTATTGGTAACACTGAACTCAAGGTTAAGTATTGGTAATACTGAACTCAAGGTTAAGTATTGGTAACACTGAACTCAAGGCTAAGTATTGGTAACACTGAACTCAAGGTTTAGTTTTGGTAACACTGAACTCCAGGTTAAGTATTGGTAACACTGAACTCCAGGTTTAGTATTGGTAACACTGAACTCCAGGTTTAGTATAGGCAACACTGAACTTGAGGTTTAGTATTGGTAGAAATGAACTAGAATTTTTAGTATTGGTAACATTATGTAAACGTTACATATGGTAAACCTACAGTCAGTTTGAATAGACAGGTAGTTCCAGCATATGAATTTTTCAATAAAAGCATTAATTTTCCATTTAGCAACAGTGTGAATCCCCTCTAGTTTTCAATGTGAATGGATTAAAATTGAAAAGATCGATGAAACATATTTACTTTTCAAAAATGTAAATTAATTTACATTTACAACATTTTGAAAAATTATCACCTGGACATAACATTTCGTGCCATAAATGTTACGTCCAATGATATGCTTAGATCGACAATGTATATTACTTCCACCTTATGGTTGTGTATATCCTGGAGAAAGAGGTTGTTGTTCCTATAATAGCAGATGAAAAAACTCTGAACATTTTTAAAAAATTAAATCATTTAGTGCTTGTGTAAATCATGTGATAACTATTACTAACTGTCCTGGACTTTCAGACTAAAAGCAATTTATCACTTTTGAGTACATTGTTATACCTGGTATATTATTTACAACAAAATGTTAGAGGCATGTATCATAGATCAATTTCTGGCTGTTTAACACGTGTCTGCACTACCACAATGCGAAAGATTACCTTTATACTGGGGTGGCAGTGATGCAAATCCAAAGTTACGTCTCGAACCTTAGATGAATATGTTTGCCAACCATTTTTTTGCTTGAAGCGACAGAATTTATCAGGAACAATTCTAATATTACAAGCCATTGAATATTTGATATATTTTACCACAAAATGACAGTTGACATTCAACCACCAACTAAATATTATGCTGTAATATAAATTTTAGCCAAGATTTGCTATATTAATTGATGCAATCTTGATGAATTACCCTCAAAAGTGACCGATATGTATGACTCTTAGCCTCCATAACACAAGAAAACCCTAAATATACAAAAAAAAAAGACCCTTTTACATTTAACATCATGTTTCATGTGGTCTAGCGTCTATCGTTACATCCAGATGAATTATTTTCAAATGTGACCGATATGTATGAATCTTAGCCTCATATAACACAAGAAAACCCAAAATGTACAAAAAAAGGACCTTTTTACATTTAACACATGGCAGATACGAACCATTGGACTTATTATATCATTAGTGTTCCTAGGACGTACCAGACACCATAAACAATTTATTGTCTTGTTGCTTCTTTCCATTCTACAAGAGATTTGCTATTTGATGATGAAGTGTTACAGACAATACTCTATGTAAAACTACTTGGCATGACATTACACTTAGCATTAAAACTTCTTGTGTATGACAAGGGTAACTATTTTTTTAACAAAATATATATGTGTGAAACATAGCATGGACTGGATGTAACACAGGACACTGTGATTGCAAATGTCAAGAGATGAAACTCTTTAAACATTATTTTGAAAATCTTTATCGACATTATCTATTCAGCTACAATATAGTATCTAACAGTACCCAAACAAACTTGTTGTTTACAAAATCAGTGTCCCATTACCTAATTATTTTTGTAAACAAAACTTATTTGATGGCCTAAAACTGAAGTTACAAACATTTATTGCAATACCTATCTAAATAGAGAGTAATTTTTCATGAATTTAACAATACATGTACTTTAGAAGGAATTATATTCCCAAATGAACAGCCTTGTGTGTCCTGTTACATCCAAGAACTCCAATATAAACAGCTGTATTTTCTCCATCATTCAAAAGCAGAACTCTTCTCCTTTATTGTTCAGGATGCAACATCCTCTCATGATGTGAAATCTACTACATCATGGTGTTTTATCTTGTTTTAAATTTTCAAAAATGGTTGTCCTGAATGTGACAAATATTTTATGATGCAAAATTTTGGCTCTTATACAAAATTTCATTGTGAAAATAAACCAAAGTTTGAACTATCAGAGTCAACATAATCAAAATTGATAACAAAATCTTTCAAAACATTATTTAACAAAGAGGAAAATTCAAATTTGTAAAGACAATGTCTTGTTTGAAATACTGCTGAATAATGAATAAGCGTGTTATAATATGACAGTTTTGTTTGCGGGGTGTGGATTGAGACTATGATTCCAGATTAATGCTTTTACAACATTGTGTCATAGGTGTTCTTAAGCATGATCTATAAGTCTTAAAATCAACAGGACAGAAATTATACAAGTTGACAAGAAGAAGACCAATATCTAGAGTGATTATTGTGGGAAAATCTGCATCACGATATTGTCATATACTTTGTTCCTAAGTTCATTTTCAAAATACCAGTGAAGAAATCTGACACACAGCAATTGCTAAATTGTTGTGAAAATGTTTATAACCTTCCCAGAATATTTGAAATATATTTTGTGACAACATTACTTTCCATCCCCCTCCCCCTACCCGTCCCCACCATTATATCAGATATAATATTAGTAAACATGTTGTTTTGTCACTGTTGGCTTTCAATGATTCGGATGGAAGTACATGTATAAGTAATGACTGCAATGCTTTATCCTAATGATCAAGACATTTTTAATCATGGTTATAAAGATGTTTTGCAGCTATTGAACACTTTACAAAACTTTTAATGACCATGTCAATGGGAATATCTCTTCATCTTGTTTTAGACATGCTGTATGCCTATATACTGTACCAAACTGTTCAGATACCCACAGATTTATGTAATGGATATATTTAAAGTGTTATCGGTACAAACTGATATATCAATATTCTGATACAGACCTAGTGCTTCAATTGCAAGTTTTTACTGAAACATAAAATTGTTGTCTTACTTCTATAATCATGATGTATCATGACATCAACATATGATAACATCTATACCAATTTTCAATTTCTCTTGTTTGATTTATCTGAAACATGTGTACTTCATTACATAAACCATTCATAAATAATGAAAAATGCATGAAAAGTCACTTTTAGCTACAAAATATGCATTAAAACCAATCATTTGCCTTATAAGTTTGCAGTAGATTGTGCAGGTGAAAATGTGGTGAGTCATGCAATCAGGAATATTTATAAATCAATCTAGTAAGATCTAGAGTAAAAACTTCTAACTGGAACCATGATGGACCGTCACTCATTTTATTCCTATATATGACTTCTAACTTACCCCTTTATGCTTTTAAGTTTTATAAATCAAACTTTTCTATGTACCAATGTTTTTTTTTCTACAACCTGAAGTTTGCTTCATGACATATTCTCATTAGCCATCATTTGACAAATTTTAATGATCAGTTCATAATACATTTGTATTGCTAAGTCTGGTGAATCTGCACATTCTGTGATCTCTCATAAGTAGCCTCATTTTCAGTAATAATATGTGATATATTTTGAGTCTACATGCACAACAGATTGTTTTCAAATACCGAGGCACAATGTCGGTATATTTTAGTGATTCTCCTTTTGTAACAATTAGCATGATATAAGCAGGTGATTTTTGGTGTGCAGAATCACCAGATGCACATGTTCACCAGATATCACTGTACTTACCATAGTTTCGTTGTGTGCCAAAAAAACATGACACTCGTAATCACAGTAAAGATCATGACGTGTCAGGTATGCAAAACAGCGTGCATCTTGGTGTGTTTTAGCAAACTTTGATAGTGATGGCAGAGTATGTTCAAATATGATAGTATTGTCTAGGCAGCCGGTCGCTCGTAGAACGTGGGTCATGACATCCAGGCGAATCTCTTTGAATGCTTCCTTTCGTCGTTTCACCTCAGCCATAACCCAAGGCATGACAAACTGGGGAGGATATCTTCTATCAAGTATGGCATTGCCTAAATACATGACGATGAAAGTTCTTCGAGATGCCATCATTTCTTCTACTGACATCCTGTATATTGTTTTCTTTTGGCAAAGCGCGTCAGGTCAGCAAAAATCCGTAACCATCATCAGCGCTGTAAAATCAATATTCCATGTAGACCCAAGTGTTAATAAACAAGAAATTCAAGTAATATTGAGTTCCGTAAGATTAGTTGTATACAAATCATTTATCTAAAGTATTGCATGATGATATATATTTAACAAGATACTTTTATAGTTCCACCTCACTCTTTGGAAAACCGCAAACGTTGGTTAGGACTTATCGCCGTTTCGGTGCAAAATAAACAATAATAAAGACACTGTATCAATCTGTTGAACGTCATGATGTCATTTCAAAGAGTAAGCTATAATAAATCTATTTGATCTGATTACCGTTCAACGCTCCACCATCTTCAAACAGACCGATAGTGGTTTCAGCAATCTAAACCAGTACCGAACATTTCACAGCTGATCGTATTTTTTTTATTTAGCGGCCATTTTGTGACGTAATGGGATGTTTTTTTCGACTGCAAATTGCAAGTTCACTTGACAAATTGTAATGACGCATACTTTTGTTAAATCGAAAGAAAATAAATATCTAAATTGATTAAAAGTATGAATTCATCAACTTTAAGTGTCAGTAAAATTGACCTCGCACGTGCAGTTAATAAGGCGGAAGTCGACAGTTGCATCCTGGGACATTGATTAGCAGACCGACAGACTTACCAACGTGCGTAGTGAAGCAGAGTAACTATCATGGCAGGAAAACAGAGATGGGTACCCTTAGAGTCAAACCCGGACGTAAGTTATGAATTCATAAGTCTTTTTGTGACATCAATTTATATGTGTGTTATTTCACCTAAAATTCATTTTCTGTTTGTATTGTAGGTATTAAACAAGGTGAGTGGTCCAGATTTCGTACGAAGGGAAGCAACTCTTTCTGTGATGACAGTACTGCAGATGCTGCAGCAGGAAACATTTGACCCGATATGCTCTTTATCATAAGTTATCCAATCACCTGAGCCTGAGTCATAAGTTCATTACAATTTCACAGACAGAAATTAACGTCAATCCATTATGTATTTCATTTGATAAATTTTGTTTTCTTCATAATTCATAGACATGATAATGATACTTAGTTTAGATTTGTTTTTGTTTTTTCATAATGCATTGACAGTGTGGATCGAGACGATGGAATTTCATCTTCTCTTTAATCTTATATTGATTCATTACCCTGTAGTGCTGTCACTTTAACTGAAGTCATATAAAATTGAAATTATTTGTGGTTTTATTTTGTCAGAGCATTTAATTAATAAGTACCAATATACCAAACAGATTTATAAAATAGAAGGGGACAAAAAATGTGACATTCCTCAGCTGACGAGGAAAATATATATTTTACTAAGATTACGACCTGAAAATGGTGTTAACCTGTCATTTGATATTCTGAATTTCAGAGTGTGATTCTGTTTAGCAATATGGAGAATTTAGTACTATCTAGATGGGAATAAAATCATAGATGATATTCAAAATAGGATTTAATTTTGACACTGTGACAGCAATCCTTCCTCTAAGGACTTGCACTGTGATATTCAAAACAGAAACAGGATTTGAGAGGGACACTTGTTTTTAGTTATTATTTCATTGTAGGTTTTGTAAATACAACGTTCAGATCAGTCAATATAACTTACTTTTATGATTTTTTTATCTTTCCAGTAATAAACTCATGTCTAGTAATAAAATTCCTGATATCTACACTGATTAGTGTTCCAAATGATATAAAAAAATTCTTATTTCAATGGTTGATATTGAATCACGTATATGTGTTGACCTCTTATACTTATTTACTTTTATACATTTAGAAGGTCAGGTAGCAGAGACATATATACCAGTTTTATATACATCGGTGCAGGTAGTAAATCAGAATCTGGTCAGCTGACAGCTTAATTAAGGGTAAATGTCTGTATTTCTCAGATAATAATTTGCTTCATTTGATACAGGTTTCTATAATTTTGTTAGTAGTAGGCTGTGTAGTGAAAGTAGGAGGCTGGTCTGCCGTGATGTGTAGTCGTGTACGGAACATTATTACGGAACTGGATTGGTGTAGGCGGCCAAATGATCAAAGTAGCCGGTCAAATTGGCTGGCGACCGGCTCTTATGGAAAACCCTGCATATATATATAAAAAATAGTTTTGATAAGTTAGATAAACCCAAAATCTGAATTAATAAGTGGCAACAAGTTTTCTGAATTCCACTCTTACCGAAAATTCAGGATTTCCTTCCTAGGTAAGAATTCAAATTTTCGAGCCTCTGAAAGCTGCATTGGTAGACTGCTTTCTTGGCACACCTTAAAACAAGAATGTGTTAATCTTGATTGTTTTAAGCTGCTTTTTCTGATACACTTATTGGATGTTTGAAATTACCAGCAATAAGATTTCTTTGTAATTTGTATCTTAAATTCGAACTAAAAGCTGGAGGCTTCTTTGACACTTTGATGTACATGTAGATATTTTTATCATTTATTTTTTCAGCTTTACATACAAAGATAACTGTTAGAATGGTTTATTTTTATTATTGTAGTATATAGCTAACTTGGGGGTTCCCTCCACATGTCAGTTTTATGACATTTATGGACTGGAACCTGAATTACTTACGATGGTTCCCCAACCAGTGCTGGCCGTCATGTTGCTCTTTCCAATCACAGAAAAGGTAAGTTCAACATGTTACCTGGTAAGCATAACATAAATTAATGTATTGAAATTCATTGTTACTCCATTCTGTATTTATTTTATTATTGGTGTATGCATTTTGCTTTGATAAAATTTTCATTTATGGAAAAAAACAGGTTACAAAATGGCTGACAGACAGCCATAGCTGATTTTTTGAAAAGTCCATTTTTATATCACTTTTACTTGAGAAGTACTGATGAATCATTCTCAAATTAGATCAATTCCCTCTAGTCCCTAGTTATGCACTGTCTATTATGGGATTAAAATGGCCAAAGTAGGCCACCTTGCATGACAAGAAGTATCACTAATGCATCAAATATTTCATATTGAACACATGCTTAAGGCTTTTTACACTGGAAAATATCATATCTTAACAGCTTGATTATTGTGTTTTATCCAGTCTAAAGCTACACCCATAGGAGAGGTTGACATGTCCAGTGATGCCTACTTTGTTAAACAGACCATTGGGAATGCATGTGGTACAGTTGCTATCGTACATGCCCTAGCTAATAACAAGGATGAAATAAAATTCATAGGTAAGATTCTAAGGTTGTGTAAGTAAGAACACAGGTACTCTTACGGTATTAAAAGTATTGAAGTGTGACTGATATTACCTTTTTTGAAAATGTTTGTATTCTTTTGGATTTAGCTCATTCTGGGATCTAAAATGCAGTGTTTTGAAACTAACTACCATAAAAATTCAGAAGTACATTTTTAGAAGTGTTTAGGTCATATGGCCTGAAGGGTCAGGATGACCTATAGCCATCATGTTCCAGCTGTAGTGGCATGGTGCACAGTACACCATCCGCTCTCCATGCATAAACTTTCTATTCAAATGACTTCTTCTCAATAACCAAAAGGCTCAGGCTTCATATATCTGGCCTGTTGCATAATGGGATGAAGGATTATCAAGTTTGTTAAATGAATAACCTTGACCCACTTTCAAGGTTACAAGGGTCAAATGTGTGAAATCTCTGAATGACTTCTTCTCAATAACCAAAAGACTCAGGGTGCTGATATAGGTACTCTAGCAAATGCTGGCATAAATGGCCACTAAGTTTGTTCATATTATTGACCTTGACCCACTTTCAGGGTCACAAGTGGTAAAAAATGTCAAAATCTTGAAGCAACCTCTTCTAAATAACCAAAAAGCACAGTGTGCTGTTATTTGGCCTATTGCATTGTAAGGGAAGCTGTTTCAAAGTTGTTGATTTGATTGACCTTGACCCTTTATAGTCAGATGACCATTAAGGCCCATAGGCGTCTCGTTTATTAGATAAACTTTAAGGGAACCCACAGTCGCAATTTTGAATCTTATTTTTATAATTATGATTATCTCTCCTGATAAGAATATTAAAGTAAGATAATTTGAGTATTAAGGGATGATATTCTGTTGGTTTGTATTTATTCAACAAATTTTAGCTTACCTGGTTTAAAGGACCATTGAGCTTATGTCTTAGTATGGTGTGAGCTTCCATCAACCTTTTACTAAAAATTTATAGTAGTCATGAATAACTGAACAGATTTTGACCGAATTTCAGTCAAAAGCATTTATTGGTTCTTGGCCCCCAGGGGCCTGAGAGGCAGGGCCTAAAATAAGAAATTTTGCAAGGTATTCAGGGCTCTCAATCTGCCAGATTTGGGGCAGAATCCCAATGCAAAATAGTATCTTTTTTTCCCAATTTAGACCCCAAGTTTTCCCAATTCTAAGGAAAACGCCGCTATTTTTCCCAATTCTAAGGCCCCCAGGCCCCAGTCCCAAAATGGGGTGTGAGAGCCCTGGTATTTAAAATCTTATTCCTCCTGTAAGAATAAATGGATATTGTATAAATTTTGTCTGAAGCTTTCTTAGATGAAAGAGAATCAATTTAAAACTTAAATTCAATATAAACGATGAACTTGGCCCTCTTGGATGGGAAGGATCGGTCCCAATTGGGAAAATGTATTAAAAATTCTTCTTTCATACTGTCCAAGTTTGTTCTGTAGCAAATTTTAGGTCACCATTTTGTAATGACCTTCATACGGGGTCTTTTGCCAGTAAACAATTAAATATTTTCAACGTTTTCTCAAAAAACTCCTGAAGTGATTTCAATGATGTTTTGCAGAAACATTCCGTTGCCTAAGATGAAACAGAAAAGTGAATTATATAGTCCCCAACCCATGGGGGCCTGAGGGGCAGGGCAAGAAAGGGTCAAATTTACTCAAATTTCAAAAATCTTCTTCTCAACACCCAGATATGGTAGAATCAAAAGCTCTTCTTTGATGGAAGCAGTCTAAGGTGGTTCACATGGTAGGGGTAGAGTTTACTGTAGTTTATATAGAAAAATTAGATTTTTGAGTATAATTTGTTAAATTATCATTGGAAATATTTCAAACTTGTTTAAAATTATGAATGAAGGATGACGGCTCGATGGTATGACCATATTGATCCTGGTTGACCCCCAGGGGCTGATGGGCGGGGCTAAAAGTGGCGATAACAGCTAGATGGTATGATTATATTGATCGTGACTGGCCCCGTGGACCTCTTGTTGTTGTTTTTTTTTATGATAGTTCTAACTACTATCGGGATTGTTTATTGTATTTCAGATGGAAAACATTTTGTTCATTTTATGGAAAAGACAATTGATCTTTCACCAGAGAAGAGAGCAGAATTCCTTGAATCAGACACTGTAAGTTTAATTTGATAATTTTCATGAAAGATATTAGGACTATAAGCATTTTGTTTTAAGTTGGTTTACATACATTAGCCTGGTCTTTAAAAAATGCTTCATTTGAAAAAGAGTCACTGTTTTTGATAGCTCACCATCCTCACCAGCTGATTATATAATCAAATTTCAGTGGTCCATCATCTATTTGTAGACAACACCTGTTAACACTAATTCTAGAGAAGCACAGACTGGATCTTACTCAAATTTCATATGTAGGTTCCCCTTGGTCCCTAGTGGTGCCAGTTTGATTTTGGGACTGATCAGGAAAACAAAATGACTTAAAGGCAACCATCTTTGATTTGGCAGTTAATGATATTATCACTATTTCTTGAGTATTTTTCAAATTTCATATGATTAAGAGCAAAAAGCAGAAAAAAGAATGGAAAAGCTCAAACTTTTAAATTTGTTTTAACAGGAAACAACAGTTATAGAGATAGAATAAAGACCTGTTACAAACCAATCAGGTTATAAGAAATAGTACCTAGGTCATAGGGTCAGTTACTATGGTAACATTTTGTATCAGACCTTATTTGGAATACTTTGTCAATGAAATGTTTAAAACAGCTGATTTTCGTGATAAAAACTTAAGGTAAGTGATTGCATAACATGTAAATCAAATAGAATGTAAAATTAAGCAGATTTTTAGACCATCTGATGTATTTTCTTGCAGGATATGGGATCTGCCCATGAAGACAGTGCACAAAAGGGTCAGACTCAGGTATGTTTTAAATAATTTAATACACTTATTTCAAAACTACAGTTTAAATGCTGTCTAAATGGTCTTGGAACAATTTTTGAAATTATATGTGATATCGTATGTGCATTGTGGTATGTCATGTTAATACTGTTTTTCGCTCTTATTTCACGTTTACTTATAACTGTACTTTTTGTTAATAAACTGAATTAAATGAGTCTGAAACCTATACAAGTAGTCAACACACATTGCCACAGATATACTTGTTTGAGTTTAAGTCACATCACAAGTAAAATAAGCTGTACTATAAAAGAATCAAACCCTCTAAATAATGGATCATAATAGTTATATTATAAATTGTGAATAACAAAAAATCCATGCAATACTTGGCCTGTGCTAGTAAACAATTTTCTTTTTGAAAACATTGATAAAATCAGCAGATCTGCAATGTTATCACAGTGTATGAATAGAAGTGTACAATCCTAAGTTGCTATCTGTACTGACAATTGTGACTGCCAAAGTGAGAGGAAATGGCACAAGTATTACATGCAGGTTGGTAAAATATCACATATTACCATTTTTGAAAACAAAGGGATATATGATATTGCATGATTTCTCTTAACAAATATGTGCCCAATGTTATGAGTATTACCTGGTTGACAAGCTGGATAGTAAATAAGAATTTACATTTAATAGCAGTGATTTACATCAAAATGAGGCATGTATTCATAATAGTGTTTTGCTGCTTTGAATGTGAAGTATCTTTCATGGTGGACCATTTCGTTATTAGTAGTCATTCCAAATTTTGATCTAAATGACAAACCAAACATTTCATAATGCAGATATAGGTGTCTTTACTGGAGAATGTATGTGGCATGTTTTGGAAGTGCCTATACATAGCCATTTTCAAAACAATTCAAGTGTCTATATAATTTCATCAGAAAACAATGTCTTCAAAATGTATTTGCTATAAACATATCACATTTGTAGTCAGATATAAGGTTCGTGTGAAGTGTTTGATAAATATGTAAACTCATGATGCTATCTTAAGTAATAAAAAACTGTCAGTGTGTCTAAAATAATGGAAAATAGACAAGGTAGATGCCTCCATTTATCGGTAATACACTGTGCATCTTCTAGTGTAAAAATCTCTTAAAAGTCTGTTCAACATTCTGCTTTTGATGATTCATTGATAATTCAAGTAGCCTTTCAAATGTCTCAAGCTGACAGAATTTACATGCAGTAGAAATAAAATATCCAAAAGTTGCCATGTGTTCTGCTTGTCTCAGTAAGTGACAGGAGTACTGTTACACAGAGTTGTCAGTATGGAAATGGGGAAAAAAAGCTATACACTTCCATTCACACACTGTGGCTACAATACATTAATTTACCTGAAACCTGAAACATTATTTATTTTATTAAATTTGCCATTTTAATCATGCATTTGTCCATTAAAAACATATTGTTTTATTATATAAAGTACTGTTTGCACATTTTCTGACAAACATTGCAGTTATTCTCTGTTCAAAATGTTGTTGTCTTTTTTTCTTGTTGTTTATTAGTGTGCACTTAATTATGTTACTTGTTTGTAGTACTTGCCTATTGAAACTGACAGTTATAGGTTTACAGTAAGGTCTCTTTAGGTTAGAGAGACTTTTATTTCACCAACAGAAATTCTGATTATTGTATTGTTAAAAGCCTTTGTTCAGAACAGTGATATCTTAATTACAGTTGTCCATATTTGGTGTTCCAATCATCTTTATATTAGATCAAATACTGACTATAATGTAGGACAGACAAAAGTAATATTATGATTTCCCTTTTGATGTGATAATCAACCGGTGGGTTCATTCATGGATTCACTTCTACCAAATAATAAAGAGATTTTATTAAAATGAACAAGTAACTGTGATGTTGTGTCAGAATAATACATATATATGTACAAACATTTTAGGAATTTGGAATGTCACATTACTTTAACCCATAGTAATTATACAAAATTTGTGACTTTCGAATATAAAAAGGACATAGTCTTGGTCAAAAAGCATTATTTTAGCTTTTGTTTGTTTGGTTGGGGTTTTTTTTATCGGTTAATTGGCAAGTTTTCAGTGTACTGTGAAAGAAAAACTGACAACATAATACTCATAGTAAGTAATACTTTGATGAAGGATTTTTCACTTGAACTGGAGAGAAGTACTTTTAGTCATCTGAGTTTTGGTTAACAAGGTTTTACTGAATTTTAACCTGTATGAATAGTTCTAATGAATTGCCTATGAAATGTTGTCATGCAACAGGTTGAAAAATCAGTAAATCAAGAGGTTTAGTTGTACAAGGGTATAGAACCTTGTGTGGATCCCTTAGCAGAATCACTGTGAATGATGAGCACATCACAATGTATAGTCTGTTTCTCAAGGAAATGCTATCATAACTGATATCTCAGTTCTCTGTTGTGAAGTTGTCTTTGTAGACATCAAAAAGTAAAAGTAACATTTATCCATATCCATCATTACACACTCCAGAGTTATCGTGGTAAACAATTGATACACTGGTGAGAAAGATGAGGTTATCTCCCTTAGACTGATGTTCTACTCTTTCTTACCCTGATAATTTAAATAATGAATCTCTTAACCTTTAGTTTGTTTTAAAATGAATCAATTCACACTCATTTTGGTTGTAACTATTGTAAAAGAACCTGTTTGTGATATATAAGGAAAAAAGAAGCTACATACTTGCCATAATCATATCGCATTAAGTTACAACAACAGCTTTCAGTGGCCATTGTCCCAAATGTGTCAACTTCTGTGTCAACCTGCATTCAAGGAGATTACCCTGATTTCACATCCCAAATCAGGGGGGAAATGTGTAAAAAATTTTGCAGTGTTTTACTCTCCATGGAAAAGAATTTTCATCCAGTTTGATGATATGAAAATAAATAACGGTGATTTGGTCTTTTGATACATGTAATTTATTCATGGTTGTCTAGTCAAACTGAAATGTTTTGATACAATAACTATTTGTGTTCTGCATCACACAAAAAATCAGCTGTCTTCGCAGCGGAGTAGTCAGTGCCTTCAGTGAGCATGTTTTGTACATAATATTGAATCTATTGTATCAAGTCCAAATTCTGAACGAAACTGAGTTTTCACTTTTTTCATGTGGAAAATAGTCTCTCATGACCAGTACTGCTGACGGGCAGTATTAGATATATCAAAGTCAGCTTGCTCAGATTTGGAGAGAAACTGTTTTTCCGTTTGCTCCATGCAAATGATTTTGCAAAGTAACTGTCTGAAAATATTTTTTTAACAAGTTTGGTGAAGAGTACAAAGGTGCATGAGCTCATATAGTTTCTTATGAGAAAAAGGAGAACTACCAGCTTTGAAAAATGTGCCATTTCCATTCAGATATATATCATTGTACATATGTGTGAATGACTTAACCTTTGTCCTAGTAAGTAAAGAGTGGCAAACCAGTAGCTCAAACAATAGGCACCCTTGTTGAACTCACATGTGTCAACACTGCATTAGCATTGGACACCCCACAACGGGTGCAGAGATGGTCATGTTCTAGGGTATTTGTGATTTTACAGGGTTGGCTTCTGAAATATGGGGTTTATTTTACTGTATTTGGAAAACTGCCACAGTGGAGAAAATGGCTAAACTTCGCAAATATCTAGGGTTTTTTCTGGAGAATCCAGAATGATTGACACCAGTGCTGTCCATCTTGGTCACTCTTTTGAAAAATGCAAAGTGAGGCATGAAGGAGTAATGCAGCCACACACAAACCTATATAGGGCATGATGGTATCTCCTGGCTTGTGGAGTGTAGTCTGATGTGAATGGCTTCCTTTATCCTCTATCACATCAAGTTCTGAGTTTTGCTCTCTGTCAATGATGGATACTCTGAGCTTGTCAATTACATGACTGATTTCCAGGGCATGTGATTTACAGAGCGTGCTTGGTTACAGCAGAGGCGTTGGATGTAGAAGTCCTTGTGAGAAGAAGGTCAGGTAGCACCTAGAATCTTGTAGATCACTTTGTATTTATCCTCCTTCCTATGTTTGTCCTAAGGTGAAATTTAAAAGTTCACACAGGCTGGTACCTGAGGTTTCAGATAAACACAGACACCCTTCTTCATTAGGACTCTAGGACCTCAGATATACCTCTAACATCAGGAATGACCTCACATACTTGAAACAGGTCTTTCTGTTGCTCCTTATTTCTGGAGATTTCCGATTGACGAAATGCCTAGTTCCTGTAACCTTTGCTATCGAGTACTGATCTCAGGTGTTAGAGCGCCTTACTTTTGTTTACATGGTCACTGATGACTTACAAAGCATGTGATGGACATGCTAGAGTGAAACATTAACAAAATTCCCAAATCCACTAGACTTCTCAAAGAGTCTTTGTGAAGAGAGGCAGAACCAGAACATCCCTACAGTACAGATATGAAAGGAAGGGGGTTGAAGGTTAATGGGAAACTATTCCTTTTTTAGCTCACCTGGCCAAAAGGGTAAAGCATCTAGGATCCTGAGAAAACGGACCCAAAAGGGGATGTTTTAAAATCATACTCTTCCTGTCAAAATTATAGGATTTTGACCAAACTTGGTCTTATCAATCTTAGGTGAAGGGGAAACAGTTTTGTATCAACAGTGGGTATTGACCTCCTCTGGCAGGAGGGACAGGGCCCAGTATGGGGAAATAGGGCAAATTCTTGAAAATCCTACTCCTCCTGTAGGAATGATTGGATTTGGTCCAAATTTGGTCTGATGCATTAGAAGGAGGAGTATCAAACTTGTATAAATGGTGGATATCAGCCGTCTTAGATGGATGGCGTGGGAACAAATATGGGGAAAAAGAGCAAATTCTTGAAAATCCTACTCTTCCTGTAAGAGTGATTGGTTTTGACTAAATTTGGTTTTAAGCATTCTTGGGTAATGATGAATCAATTTTGTCAGGTAAGTGATTCAGGCCCTATGGGCCTCTTGTCTTTTCATTACATTTTGAAAGGCAAAGTAAATAGAGAAAA